TGTTAAGTGAGTTTCACCACATTTTACAAGTTGGCCATGTCCACCCAGTCACATGACTGCCAAGCCATGTCCATCCAGTCACATGGCCGGCAAGCCATTCCCGCAAAACCAACCACACCTACAGAAGAGGTTCTAAAAAATTTTGAAACCCACCACTGACTTGTAATTACATTTTCTTCCTAGTGGTCAATATTGCTATAATTGTAAGATAAGAAAAAATGAAGATTTTTCATGTTCTGCAGTACTGATAAGTCAGAGCCTATGTTCTAAAGTTCTCTGGGCCTCTCCCTTCCTGAACAAAAATATACTTGATAATTGACTAGATTAGCTGAGATATTTTCACCCTCATTCCCTTTAACTCTGGACTACGGTCTGTCATCTTGCCAGATTTCTCCCTTGAACTGGTAGCTTGCCCACAACAGAGCCCTTTGTGTATTTTCTCAGCTGAAAAACAATTTTATGGTGGCCAAATCCACCTACAAGTTATCACAGCTCCATGTTAGCCACTGAATAATTCAATGCGATTTTCAACTGGGTCTATCTGCCTGTTGACTAAAACATTTCAAAGGGTTTTTAAGCAGGCAAGTGTATCTATTAGCTAACCTCAATATTAACCAATAGGTAGACTGGACTGAATGGATTTTTGAAGGTCCACATTCATCCATAAAATAGCACCGATATATATTACCTAAGAGCCAGCTAATATGATTATTCCCCTAACCCTAAACATGATTTTATTTTGTGGATAACTTTGTTATAGGGCTTTGCGTGTCAGAACAACTGGACACAAAGAAAGTCCTCCCCCCATGCCATCCCTCTTCTAAAAGACTAATTCCCACAATCCGGATTTATGCCTAAGGATATTTATCCTTAGGATTATATTACTATTACTCTTAGTAATAGTAATATAGTCAACATACTAACTCCTATTGGTATCTTATGATTATCACAGTGTTGTTTGTATTTACACTGAGAGCTTATGCACCAGAGACAAATTCCTTGTCTCTTAATCACACTTGACCAATAAAGAATATTCTATTCTATATTTTATTCTATTTATAGAGGTTCCTTCAAATAGTTGCATTCAAATGCTGAATTCCACAAATTGGCCCAGGTTAAGTAATAAACTTTTTGTTCTTGAAATTGTGTTGACAAGAGATGAAACAATTGTCAGAATAAAATCTATCATTATTTCCAAGAGTGCAAGACATTTAGGACAGTCCAAAATTGCATTCTGTGTCTAGCTATCCCTTGAGATTTGCATAATAAAGCAGTTGAATCCAGTTGCCTCCTCTTAGACTTGCAGTTATCTGCAAGATAGCATGGGGATTTCTAGAATTACATAATTTTTTTCAGAGGTTTTGGAAACAGTTTCTTGTTGAAGAGAAAGAGGATCTATTTTGAATATTTAAAAAGTGAAATCTTGGCATTTATGTC